CAGTGCAACAATTAAAATGTTTGTACCTAATATATAACAGATCATTTTATCATCTGCATTTGCAGAAATTTTACACATTTTATAAAAAAAAAAAATACATCTCATTTTTTTCCCATAAAAATATTAAAGATTTATTACCATAACCAATACACTGCTAATGCTTACAACAATTTTGACACTTATAAATGCATCAACAAATAGTAGCTTATTCGTTCAATTGAGTAGCCTATTAACTAGAGCTTTTTGGTGAAAAACATAGTACAAAAAAATAACATAAATTTATAAAATATAAAAGGAAACTGAGTAAGAATTAGCTAAATTAGCTAAATTAACAAACTCACCAAATTACTGTTGCTGAACTCCAGTTAGCAAATGCGACAACACAATGCCACAATTTTAAATAATAATAACGGAATGTAAAATTCATTGCTAGTCGATCAAAATTTGATATAACATAGGGTGTAATTAGTAACAGATAAATAGTATCGCATATTGCTATTATCGAAAACAGCGTGTTAACACTGCAAATCAAATAAATAAGCCTGCTTCACGTAAACTAAACATAATTTACAACTAGAAAAGAAAAAAAAAACAAGTTCTTTGTTTGATTCATCATCAGCTACCGTATACTCGAATGATTCATACATTTTTTAACGAAACATGCAGCAGAAAAACAAAAAAAGCTTTAATTACAGCACAAAATTTTTGAAATACTACGCACTAATTGCATACGGTAGTTTATCGGTTGACCATTAAACAACAAATTTTACTACAAATTTTTCACTTTTTTCCTTGTTTTTTATTTTCCGTTTTTTACTTTTTAAAAAAAAAACTTGAAACATACCTGAAAATTAAATATCTTAAAATATATGTTACAACCTGGTTTTAACTAACCTGGATCGAATTTCCTTTGACAAAAGAATAACTACGGTTAACAGGTTACCGGCTACACCGATAACAATAGACGGTGACATAACAACAGTATACAAAAAAACTTCCAAACTGGAACTTGACAGCAGTAATTTTTGTGATTTTAGGCATATGTTTGTTGAATCAAAAGCTCCATCAAACACTGTAATATCATCTGAATATAAATACATATCTGGAAAAATCATTGATCCCTTTTTGCACAAAACACGAGCAAAATCTGTCTCTGTTTATCCGTCCATAAAAATATATAAAGAAAAAATGTTTGAAATTAATTTTAAAAAAAGTTGATTCTAAGCTTTGATTTAATAAAGTCTTCAAGCAAAAAAAAAAATAACCCTTTAAAATTCATTTCTTCTCAGTGTCAATGCACAACTTACACGCAAAACTATATAAAAAAGTAGAAAAACAAAAAGAAAGAATAATCAAAAATTCCATAGCGCAGTTAACAGAAGAAAGTAACGTGCTACTTTGTTTTTTCTCTGTCCAACAAAACTATTTGCTTTTTAAATTTCCAAAATAAAAAAAATGTTTTTTTTTGTGTTTTTGTGCAAAAACAGCAAAAAAATGGTTTGATAGCGTGATAAGAAAAAAATAAAAGTTGACTGTTTATATTGTTTTCATAATTTCTTCAATGTTTTCTTTCTTTTTTTTTTTTCTGCTAATAACTGTGACATCAGGACAGAAAAAAAATATTATTACTGAGAAAGCAAAAAAAAAAAAAGGAACGAAAAATAGGTTTTGACATTTGAACATTGAAACTGACGTTGGTTGAAATAATAAGAGAAAGTGACTTTCAAAAAAAAAGAGTGAAAAAGTAAAGATAAATAAATAGGAATAACCTTTATCCTTTTTTTCCTTTTTCTATATTTTACTTCTTCTTTCTCATTTAAGGTCAAAATTTTTGTTATCGTTTTTTTTTTTTTTTTTTT